AATAAGTTTCTTCATAATCTATCCCCGGAATTTGAGAAAAACCTTGGGCAACGAGTCGGGCTTTATATCTCACAATTTCATTTTTCTCATTGCGCTTACGCACAAAAACCCATTTGAAACCAACTGGTTTCACGCCTTTTGGCGTAGGAACTATAGGCCCAAAAACACTCCGTTTTTCAAGTGATTTCAATTCTGCCTGAATTGCTTCGTTCCATTTTGGCCAATCATGTCTACGTCGACATTCATCAACTGAAGTTGGCTCAATGTCATCATTTTCATCCATGATGTTTGTGGCAATGGCATATGCGAATATATCATCAACATGAACATCTTTTCTGTTCCATTGTAATCCCGTAGAAACGTAATTTATTGAAATCTCATAATTATCAACGTTTCTATCTTCATCTGAATTATTCGCATCTTCAGAGATGGTTAAATCCTCATTGGAAACAAATTGTTCGTTGATATTATTTTTTATATCAACATGCTCGGTTCGTTCATTTTCTTTCTTTGAAGAATGAACATCTTTTGTTTCAAGTATTATCTCTTGCCTTTTAAGTTTTCTTGGTTTTACATCTTTTGAACCAAGTGATCTGCCACGCTTTTTGCGTATTGAAGACTCATTTGCAAGAGTTTTTTCATTTTTCTCTAAAGGAATTTCAATTCTGGCAGGAGCATTCATAGCTGGAATATGTGACTTTGTCACTTTCTTTGAATCTGTGAATGCGTCAGGCAATTGGTTTGCAACATTTTGTAAATGAATTATCTTTTGCACTTCTTGTTCGCATGCATTTGTTCTTGCATCAAGAAAAGATAATCCTGTTGCATTCCATGTAATCTCTTTCGTACATGGGTCCTTTTTCTCATTTTCTCCCCCTAAGGCTGGGAATACTGTCTCATCGAAATGATAGTCAGCAAATCGAGTTGTGAATAAATCACCAGTCATTGGCTCAAGATATTTTATAATTGAGGGAGAATCAAAGCCAACATAAATTCTCAGCCTTCTTTGAGGACCCATTTTTGTACGATGTGGTGGAGCAATTAGTACATATACGGCACATCCAAATATTTTTATGTGAGAAATATTTGGTTCTTTTCCAGTTACCAATTGTAATGGGGAAAAAATATTATTTGCAGTAGGCCTTAGCCGAATTAAATTGGCAGCATGCAATACAGCATGTCCCCAAACAGATGCAGGTAAACTGGATTTCATCAATAATGGTCTAGAAATTAATTGTAATCGCTTTATTAAAGACTCAGCAAGACCATTTTGAGTGTGCACATGAGCAACTGGATGCTCCACATCAATCCCAATAGACATGCAATAGTCATTAAATGATTGGGATGTAAATTCTCCTGCATTATCAAGTCGGATTTTCTTTATTGAATAATTCGGAAATTGAGCTCTCAAACGTATGATTTGAGCAAGGAGTTTTGCAAATGCAAAATTTCTCGTAGATAAAAGACTTACATGTGACCAACGTGTTGATGCGTCGATCAACACCATAAAATAACGAAATGGTCCACATGCTGGGGCAATTGGCCAACAAATATCTCCTTGAATTCTTTCTAAAAATGCAGGAGATTCAACTCGAATTTTATTTAGAGATGGCCTGACAATCAATTTTCCAAGAGAGCAGGCAACACATGGAAAATCAATTGATCTTGGAATCCTTACATTTGTCAATGGATGTCCAAGTGAATTTTGAACTATTTTGTGCATCATTACACTGCCAGGATGACCCAAACGATCATGCCACAAAATGAATGTTTTCTGGTCATCTAATTTTTTATTAGAGACAACATTCACTTCAACGGGACTAATGTGAGTATAATATAGCCCCGAAGAATACGTTGGCATCTTTTCACAAAGAATTTTATTGCCAGATTTGGTTGTCGTTAGACACAAGTATTCCTTTTTATTTTCTGTCATGGTTTCAATGTGATAACCATTTTGACGCATATCCTTAAAGCTCAATAAATTCCTTCGGGATTTGCTGGAATATAATGCGTCTTTGATAATTAATTTTGTTCCTTGGGGAAGGATTAAACAAGCCATTCCAGACCCTTCAATGAGCTTTG